GGGGGGGGGGGGGGGCAGACCGGGATAGGCCGGCGTGTCGCGGAGAGCTGGCCGGTCTGATAGACGCCTCTTTAACACAGTCGGGGGTGACTTTGTGGGAGCTCTTTTGATGTGACCACGCTACACCCCAACTTCACTTTAATCACCTCCAAGCTCAGAGCAACAGCTTCCGGTGCTGGAACACCAACAGACCTGAACCAAGCATCACGTTCGTCAACCGGAGCTGAGGAACCACGAACCATGATCCACTGGGCCGGCTGTGAGCACCAGTTAGGTTTATGGTTACGGTTAGGGTAGGCAGGTTGTGGTTAGCAGGATTTCAGCAGGTTTGCCAGTTGCTACATCATGCTGTGTTAAGCCTGTGAACAGCCAATCAGCCACCTCCAACAGGGCGTGCTCATTAAAACCGTGTTGACGATGCTAATCTCCAAGCTGCTCTCCTTAGGACATGGTCACAACACCGTCCTCTCCAAGGTCCAGCAGATCAGCTGACCTTTGTTTACCAATCAGCTCCCAGATCCATTTGTTATGCCATTACGAGGTGTGCTGGACCAAGGGGCTAGATGCAGGCACATTGTGGCATACTTAACACTGGACAGCTGAACATTAAATTAACACTGGACAGCTCAACATTGATTAGATTAAAATGAGACAGCTTAACATCGATCGACATAACAGTGGACATTTTAACACTGATCATCATAATTCCGGCGAGCTTAACAGTAGCCAGCTTCACACTAGACACCTTAGCACCAGTGTGCTTAACACTGGTCAGCTTCATACTGGACACTTACACTGACCGACTTAACACTGAACAACTTAGCACAGGCTTCTGCTGTGTTCCTGTTTACTGTGCCTGGTCTGGTGTTAGTCCAGCACCCTCCCTCAGCACAAGCCCATCCAGCTACTTAACACCACACATTTGTTCAGTGGCTTTGCATGGCACTGCTATTCCCAGACTCCGTCACTGTGGGTCGCCTCATTAAAATCGATCGACCGCCTCTCCATAAACATCGCGCCGTGCGGCTCTGTCCCCTGAAGTCTCCGTGAGGCTCTGACATAAGTGTCGCTAATTAAAACGTGGCGCCGTCCTCGTTCCGTTGTGCTGGAGCACCGCGTGATCACCAGACTATCCCAAGCGGGATTCACCAGACACACCATGGAGATGCACATCGCTTACGGAGCAGCCTGTTGCCAGGACGACAGTTTCCCCCATTCAGGATTTTTGGTAGGGAATGTTGATGCAAAACAGCATGTTTGTGTTCTGCGTTTGTGGAATTAATCCTCACCATGACACCCTTTTGGGGATAGGCCTCTTACTTAATGAAATTAATTTTACAGTCTTCATAAATGTCATTTAAAAGCTTTCGCTGTCCAACTGAAGCATGATGGTACTCTGGGTTCCCCATGTGGCCCACATGAAGGGCTGACATTTGGGAACAGAGACAGACAGGGGTCTGGAAGGGATGGAAAAGCGCCTGGTTCAATTGGAGGCCTGCCAGGCGACGTGTGTGACTGAATGGGTACAGGAGAGTCCGATTGGGCTGCGGGGTGTGTGACACAATCACATGTGACACATGTTTGAACACAATGATCTGTGTCTGTCTGTGTCACTGTCTGTCTTTGTTGTTGTCTATGTGTATCTGTGTCTATGTCGGTGTCTGTATCGGTGTCTGTGTATGTTTGTGTGTGTCTATGTCACTGTCTGTGTGTGTCTGTTGATGTCTGTGTTTGTCTGTATGCGTCTATGTCGGTGTCTGTATATGTTTGTGTGTGTCTATGTCACTGTCTGTGTGTGTCTGTTGATGTCTGTGTTTGTCTGTATGCGTCTATGTCGGTGTCTGTGTGTGTCAGTGTCTGTCTGTCTG